GAAGACTGCAATAGTAGGATTGCTGTTGAAGTTAAAGATGGCGCGTTTAGCTGGGACGATGAAAGCAATGAAGAGGCTTTGAAAAACATAAATATAAATGTTAATAAGGGTGAGCTAACGGCGATTGTTGGGACAGTGGGATCCGGAAAGTCTTCCCTTCTCGCCTCAATTCTTGGTGAGATGCACAAGTTATCCGGAACGGTATGATTTGATACCATTAGATCATTTAGCAGATGTCTCTTACGATGTTAAATCCTTTCACTGAAGCTTCAACTCAATCACTTGTTAAATTAACAAAATCTTTGAAAACAGGTACGAGTATGCGGGAAAACTGCCTACGTGGCTCAAACGTCATGGATTCAAAACGGAACCATTGAAGAAAACATCCTATTTGGTATGCCAATGGACAGAGAGAGATACCGGGAAGTTGTCAGGGTTTGTTGCTTGGAAAAGGACATGGAAATGATGGAGTTTGGAGATCAAACTGAGATAGGAGAGCGTGGCATCAACCTAAGTGGTGGCCAGAAACAGAGGATACAACTTGCTCGTGCTGTGTATCAAAACTGTGACATATATCTTCTCGATGACGTCTTCAGTGCTGTTGATGCTCATACAGGGTCCGAAATATTTAAGGTGACAAAACTTTAGATTTTCTTCTACATTCGATTTCACTGTGATTGAATAGTCTAGCTCATACTTCACTGGTGCTTAGATGATGTATTTTTGATCTTCGTAATCTAAAAGTATTGAAAGAAAAACGGAAAAACAACGGTCTTATTTAGATCTTTGTAATCTAAAATGGCGCTTATGATTGTAATGTCTGGCTTTCTGCAGGAATGTGTGAGGGGAGCGCTTAAAAACAAGACGGTTTTACTTGTAACTCATCAAGTGGACTTCTTGCATAATGTTGATCTTATTTTGGTAAGTAATTAAGAATTGTTTGTTGATTCTCGAAGAATTTAAAAATGCAATGTGCTTATGTATCCCTTCTGTTTATAAATATCAGGTCATGAGAGACGGGATGATAGTACAAGCAGGAAAGTATAACGATTTGCTAAATTCCGGCCTGGATTTCAAAGAGCTTGTTACTGCCCACGAAACCTCCATGGAACTTGTAGAAATGAGTACTGCTGATCCCAGCAAAAGTTCCCCCGGACCTCAAATATCTCAGCAACTCTCTTCAAAACGTGGGGAAGCAAATGGTGAAAACAGCTCTTTGGACCAGCCAAAGTCTGATAAAGCGAGTTCTAAGCTCATCAAAGAAGAGGAGAAAGAAACTGGCAAAGTAAGCTTGCACATTTACAAAGTTTACTGCACGGAGGCTTACGGATGGGGTGGTGTGGTGGTAGTGTTGTCCTTGACTCTGATGTGGCAAGCATCTCAAATGTCGGGTGATTACTGGCTGTCGTATGAAACTGCAGCAAAGCGTGCAGCGTCATTCAAACCATCGGAGTTTATTATCGTCTATGCAATTATTGCTGGTGTCTCATTCATTGTGGTATTGATAAGAGCACTTGTCGTGATGTTTGTGGGGCTTAAAACAGCTCAGACATTTTTCAAGCAAATTCTTCATAGCATCCTGCATGCCCCCATGTCGTTTTTCGATACTACACCTTCTGGAAGAATTCTGAGTAGGGTACGTTTTGGTCATACATGATGACATATCTATAATCTGTTTACTCTACTAACTTATGTATGTTTTGCCCGATTTGTTAACTGATGAGAGTTTTTCTGTTCACCAGGCATCAACTGATCAGACGAACATCGATCTATTTCTTCCCTTCATAATGGGTATTACCATTGCCATGTACTTTACTGTGCTTGGTATCTTCATCATCGTATGCCAATATTCATGGCCGACTGTATTCTTGCTGATTCCGCTTGTTTGGCTTAATGTCTGGTACCGGGTATGTTTGTTCGTTTCATTACAGTGTTAATTTTAACCAACATTTTAAGACTGTCAGCAATGGCGCCGCCTTAATTATATACTGAAGATTGCTTTTATATTTTTAGGGTTACTATCTTGCATCATCTCGAGAGTTAACTCGACTTGATTCAATCACAAAAGCTCCTGTAATCCATCATTTCTCAGAAAGCATATCTGGGGTCATGACGATCCGCTCTTTCAGAATGCAAAGCTTGTTCTCCAAGGAAAACGTTAGACGAGTTAATGCCAACTTACGTATGGATTTCCACAACAATGGGTCCAATGAGTGGTTGGGTTTCCGTTTGGAGATGCTTGGGAGTTTACTTCTCTGTGTTTCCGCTATATTCATGATCTTGTTACCGAGCAGTATTATAAAGCCCGGTATTTAAACACTCCCGATCCCTCTTGTTTTTGTTCATAATAATTACAATGTCTGATTGATTCTCGGTTATCAGCAAGATTTGAGGTGTGGCAGCGACAGTAGACGAGTGTCTGTTGCAGGGATTTGACTAAACCGGTTTTTCCTTTATGGTGCAGAGAATGTTGGTTTAACTCTCTCCTACGGATTGTCCCTTAATGGTGTGCTGTTTTGGGCCATATATATGAGCTGCTTCGTTGAAAATAGGATGGTGTCAGTTGAGAGGATAAAACAGTTCACAAACATTCCATCAGAAGCAGCATGGAAGATTGTAGACCGTGTTCCTCCTCCAAATTGGCCTTCTCGTGGCAACGTTGAGCTCAGAGACTTGCAGGTCAGTTTGTTTTCAATTCTATTTATAACTTCCACGGTTTGAATGCACGTTTTCATTAGTTTGTCATCACCATTACATTGTCTCAAGCTAAAAGGCCTCAGTTCCTTCTGTTGATATTTTAAACTTCGTGGTGAGCAGGTCAGATATCGCCCAAATACACCTTTGGTTCTGAAAGGCATTAGTCTAAACATTTTCGGGGGTGAGAAGATTGGCGTTGTTGGTCGAACAGGAAGTGGGAAATCCACTTTAATCCAAGTGTTCTTTAGGCTGGTAGAACCTTCAGGAGGCAGAATTATCATCGATGGGATCGATATAACTACAATAGGGCTTCACGATCTCAGGTCTAGCTTTGGGATCATTCCTCAAGAACCTGTCCTTTTTGAGGGAACTGTTAGAAGTAACATTGACCCAGTTGGAATGTATTCAGATGAAGAGATTTGGAAGGTAAACACAAAGCTACGTCAAAAGTAATAAGATTGAATTATACATAATGTCTGTATGTCATCTTTCGCTTAGTTGAAACAATGCTGTATGCTTATTTGCAATGATCTTAATTTTCTTGTAGAGCCTCGAACGCTGCCAACTTAAAGACGTGGTTGCTGCAAAACCCGAAAAACTTGACTCTTTAGGTATGTGGATCTCCCCATTGTTTACTCTCTGCATCTTGAAACCGACATTTTAGCACTAGGATTATGTCCTGAACTTCTCTCATGAAATTTTAACTTGACAGTGGCTGATAACGGAGACAATTGGAGCGTGGGACAAAGACAGCTCCTCTGTTTGGGACGAGTTATGTTAAAGCACAGCCGACTCTTGTTCATGGACGAGGCCACTGCATCAGTGGATTCACAGACCGATGCTGTAATACAAAGGATCATCCGAGAGGATTTCGCTGCCTGTACAATTATCAGCATTGCGCACAGAATACCAACGGTGATGGACTGCAATCGAGTTTTAGTAGTAGATGCAGGTGAGTGCTCCCTCTAACTTAATATCTTGTCACAATCGGCATTCGTTTACCACCTGAAATTTGTGGCCGACACTCATCGGTTTGTGTCTTTAACAGGACTAGCTAAGGAATTTGAGGCACCATCCCGCTTGCTTGAAAGACCGTCACTGTTTGGTGCCTTGGTTCAGGAGTACGCCAACCGATCATCAGGACTATAACCAACAACGGCATTCTGCATCTCTCGTTTCCTCATCGTTGCTTCGAGTGGCGACTCCATTTACGCTTGCGAATTTTCCGAGAATCACTGGCATCCGTCCTCGAAGCCGGAGTAAAAGTGGCCGACTCTAATCATTTTTCCAAGAACAAGTCTTGCCTGCCACTGCAGGAAGTAGCTAATGTATAATGTATTTAGATTAGAGAACTCATATTTAAGCTTTCTTGCTGCGCAAGAAATATGAAGATGCTTCTTGAAACATTCAGTAAAATTATTCCTGGAAATTTCAGAAACTCAAAATTTATGGATGCAATCTCATCAGTTTCCAATTTCTACTTAGGATGAGTCTACATTAACATGACCATTCAAGTTATGCAAGAGTCTTCGTAAAGTGAAAATGACACAAAAATAGATTTTATAATGGGTTTGGTAAAAATTCGTAAAATTTGATTAAAAATCGTGAGTTAACATAAGTTCACGGTTTTGCGAAAAATATAGTTGATAATTTATTGCATACCACACGAATGAAGGAAAATGTTTAATCTTATAAGTAGTTTTAAAGATTTTTTAAGTTGAAAAAAAAAAAAAATCAAGAGAGAGAAAAATACTAGCATGTATCGGAAATGCCTTTTGAGAGCTAAAGAACTCTTTTTTTTGGTCAAAGAATGATACGTAACTAAGTTTTATGATGGGTTTTGGAGAAATTTTTTAAACCAACTAAAAATTGTAAGTGATAACTCATAACTTTTTTAAGAAACACGACCAGTGAGGCTTTACAAACTCTTTTATGTAATCATTAGAAAAAACGTCATAAGTAAATTGACTGCGAACTTTTCACTCACAAAATGCAATTTTGAAATTAATTAATTAACTCTTTATAAAAGGCTAATGTGTAACAAAATTCTCTTATCTAGACCAAAGGAACAACACGGGGCATAATTCGAGAACAAGAGTAACTATTACTAGAGTTTACGGACCAAAACTAAACTTTTGGTAAGTTTAAGGACTTTTGATACAATTTAGTCAAATTTAAAATTTAAGGCAAATGATCAATACAAAACGCAGCGTTTAACGTGTTGTTGCATGCTTTAGGTCAGAGTAAGCTTTGCAAGCTCTAAAACCCCGGGAAACATAAACCCTTCATTCCGCCGTAAAACACAGATTCGCAGAGCGGCGGAGAGAAAAAGAGAGAGATGGGAAGGTCACGAAGAAAGTACAAGCAGTCGCGGACGAAGGTGCGCGTGGGGCTGCCGAAGAAGAAGCCCAACGTCTTCAAGCCCGCCTTTTGCCTCCCTCCAAAGCTTCGCGCCTTGCTGGAGCAGCAAGGCCCGGCCTCCGCCCCCCATTGGGACGCCGAGGGCTCCGTCATCCAAAACTACAAGTCCTTCGGCTTCGTCTCCAACCCTAACTTGCTCAGCCTCAGAGCTCGCAACTCTCACGTGGTCGAGAGCGATTCTCTCCAGGTCCCCCCACCTCCCTCCGATGACCCCGACGCCGCCGCCGAGCTCGATTTTGGTGACGGTAGCGACCTCGAAGAGGACGGTCAGCTCTCTCTCTCTCTCTCTCTCTCTCTCTCTCTCTCTCTCTACACTCTGTTTTTCTGAATTAGAAATTGGGAATTTATGATTTTTCGCTGAAATGAGTAGTAATTTGAGGATTAGGGTTCTTCCAATTGTGATTGAAATTGAATTGCAAATGTGTTTATTTGAAAGAGTGAATTTTTTGGACAAATATTTCGAGGAGCATTCAAGTTTCCGAATTAGAAATTGGGAAATTACCCAAACCTTTTATTGGGCTATTAGAATCCAAAAGTTCCTAGAAAAATAGTTGTAATAAACTTTAGAATTGCAGGCTCACAACAGAGGTAAAAGATTCACATGAAACTTGTGATCTCATGCCTATTTTCGTACTAGGAATTGGTAATTTTTTATTTTTTGCTGAAATGAGTAATTTGAGGATTAGGGTTCTTCTCATTGGATGGATTAATGATTGAAATTGAAGTACAAATTGGGTTTACTGGAAAGTTTAGAGTCTGTTTGGTATTCTACTTAAAAATTTTCAAATAGGATACCAAACAAGCCCTTAGTTTTTTAGGGTAAAGTTTTTTACTTGATTTCGATGAGTATTTGAGCTTCCGAATTTGGAATTGGGAAATAATCCAAACCACTTACTACTGGGTTATTAGAATCCAAAAATTCCAGAAAAGGGGTGTAATCTAACAACAAAGGTAAAAGATTCAGATGGAACCTGTAATCTCATGCCTATCTTTTGTGTTCGTGTTTGGACTTTACGTATTCAAGCTAGAATCTTCTGTTAGATTCCAGTTATGCTGTGTTTTCTAAAAAATCTTGCTATCAGTATTTGAGTAAGCTGAATCTTGAAAATCTTGTTACTTAATCAGTGGTTATATTTGATGGGATGGAAATCACCATATGGAGTTATTTTCATCGTTTACGTACTTCAGTTTCTTTCTTTGAGTGGCATATAAGCTAAAAAAGTTGGCTGACAAACTTCTACAAGGTCATTCATTGGTGCTGCAATTGACTGTTGTATAAAGACCTTTAGAATGCAATGACGTAGAGGCTTAAGTGGATGGTGAAGACCAAAATTTTCTGTTGTCCGCTCTAAGTAAGAAATAGGCTGTGCTAGTTTGAGAAAACCATTACTCGTAGACCTACTGCTCTTTTGGATTGCATATAGCATTTGTTGTGGAGTTTCTTGGTTCTTTTTTTTTTTCTCTTTTTTCTCTCTTCAAGTTGGGAAATTGAGATGTAGTTGATCATTTCTGGTGTTCATTTACAGATTTGAAAACTAGTCTAGGGAAGAAACGGAGAGATGGAAAATCTGCACCACTGCAACCCTTAACGGCCATGCAGCGTCTACATATTGGTCGGCTCATTGAGAAGTATGGCGAGGACTATCAGGTAGGCTACAAGCTCTTGTCATGTTTGAAATATAGGTTTGTCATGTTGCTTTCTTCTCCTTAACGTGGGTTCCTGTTGCCTTTTGCAGAGAATGTTCATGGACACAAAACTAAATGCAATGCAGCATTCCGTTGCAACGTTGGAGAAATTATGCAAACGATATCGTGTGCATAAAGATCGAAATCCCTTGATATTGACCCGTTGAGGAATATGCTCGATCTTACACGGCGGGCGACCTCATCAGCATCCTTCTAGCACTCATGTCATCTCTTTTCCTTTTCAATATGTATGTTATTGATGACTTATAATAGAAACCTTGGCTGATGAATGATTAATTATGCAAAATGAAACGAAGTTTCCATTTCCGACGTTAATATTTCTGAATTCGAACCTAAAATGTTTGGAATTCAAATATTTTCGAAAAATTGGATTTGAAATTGAAATGCAGTTAGAGATTCCGAGAATTTCAAATTTCCAATCTAAATTCTTCCAAGTGTTTCGAACTTATTGTGATCCGATCAGATCTAAATTTTAGAATGGAAATTGGAAATTTTGTTTCCGATCCGATCCATCCGAAAATCACCCCTATGTGAGCCTACAGTGGAAATATCAGAACACCACCCCCAACACCCACGCTATCTATCAAGAGTTAAACCAAACTCCAACCACCTATCGGCAACTATGAGCAAAGCCAGAAACTTCCGCAGCCGTGCGGGCGACGACAGCGACAACAAGAACAGCAACCCAAACCAACCCTCCGCCTTCAATCTTAGTAATCAATAAATACGCCTTTAATCTTAGTAATCAATAAATATGGTACAAATAGCATTACAAAATATAGTCGTATCCTTGGATACTTTGTAGCAAGGTTCAAGGAGCCAGGATGCATTTGACCACAATCCAAAATGCAAATGTACTTGAACCAATTTGGTGAAAAACAAACTGTCAACCCTCCCTTATTCATGACCATATATACAGAGTTAATCAAAAGTTACATACAAGAAACTAAACATCCAGAAACAAGAACGTTAATGGCTTTTCAAACTACAAAATCGTTGGCGGTTTACAGAGCCCCAACCGTGGGGCAGCGACTAAACTCCAACGAATGCCCGGCACTGGAATTCCCAGTGCTGTTTTGCTTGCCGAACCCTCTCTACCCTCTCGGTCTGGAGTCTCTGCTCCCAGTATTCACGGCAGCTGTCAAAACATGAACAGATAACAATGAAAAAATTTGCATATATAGGATGATCATCCACTCGCATACGGATTCTAAGTGAGCGGTATATGCTGGACAAAAACGTACTTTCTGCTAAGTAACATGCTGAGCTCTTCTAAATGTACAGCGCCTTGGAAAACTCTTGCCTGAAATCAACATGAACAATCACAAAGCGGTAAGCGATTTTAATTTGAATTGTAGCGATGCAGGTCCTAAAAGATTTCAATTTTACAACTCCAATTGGAAAGAAGATGTTTCCTCACCTCTCGGCATAGAGGGCATTTTTCTTTAGGCTCTGCGGACTTCAATCCATCGACAATAGTCACTGATGCGGCCGAGCAAGCGCACATGTAGCAGAATATGTGACCACATGCGAGAGCAACTGGATCAAAAACGGTGTCCTGTAACGTTGAAGACAAAAATATGTCACACAACCTTAAATGAAGCACAACAACAGTAACATGCTTTCTTCCTACAACTCCTACTGATGTCTTGGTATTCCGACGCTACAGCTACTGAAGGTTTATGTTTCAGTTGAGCAAATCAAGCTCGTATCAGTGTTTGCAGTTTGCGGGAAGGAATGTCAAGCTTTATGAACTAGTCATATGTACTCCTATATCATAACTATGAGGAGCGAGAGCGATATTTTGAGAGTGCTAGAACATTTCATATCAATTTTTGAAAGACTTGAATTCACAGGCAGGATAAGAAAACCAATATATCAACAACACAAATACGCAGTCAATAATCCAATATATGAAAACCTTGATACTTACCAAGCATATAGAACAAGTCAAATCGATATCAAGCTTAACGGAATCAAAGAGCTCACAGGCGAGAGATGGTTTCCCATCATTAATCTTGAGGGAGCATCCCTCAAACAGAGCCGGTGTCTTACTCGACTTAGTCTTGGTTTCCCTTAAATTGATGTGAAAAGCCATGAGCTCAAAAAGCCACGGGCTCTGAAGGAGTCCAATATGCATGCTTTGAGCTTGCGACTTGAAGGCCTGTCCTTGCGTCGAGAAATGAATCTGTTCCCATAACACAAACGAAAATTATAAATACATATTTAAGTGGATTACCGAAACTTGGATAAACGAACTATCAAGTCTGAGCAGTTGGATTCACATACCTTATCATATTTCTTTAGTATTTTCCGAATGGCAACGGCGTTGATCAGAGCATAAGTCACGAGGTCCTTGCCTTCTTCGATTAAGGCACCATGGCCCCCTCGACCTTTGCCTTTGAACCAAAACATGTACTTACGAAAGCCGGAAGACAGATGGAGTTCAAGCAATTTCTGTGCGCGCTTATTGAAGAAACCCACCACTGCAGACATCTCATTGAGAAGCGCCGGGAAAAAGCTCCCGTCACACACTGCAAAAATTCAACTAATTAGCATAAAACAATTGAAAAACAAAAAATTAAATATCATTCCGGATTCATTGACCCTCAAATTTGCAAGTTAAAACAGATTCCATATGCCTTCAGGCTTGAACATCGTTAAAAGCCGGCAATTTTTTATTTTTTTATGTTTTTTTTTTAAACGATATTCTAAACTACTCTAAATATAATGATAACTCGAACTTTGATTGGGATGGGAGCGCTGACCTAGCCACCAGCTGGCCTAATGGAGGACTTGGCTTGTACTCCACCGTCAACTTTTGGCTTTCAAACAATTGCATGAAAGCAGGCAAGATGTTTGCTTTTCATCTCAATGATTTCCGATTAAATTAACAAGAATACATACATGCATACATAATATATATGGAATTGAAACAGCCAGAAAATTAACCAAAGTTAAAACCTTAATCATAAAAATCATCAGAACCAGATTAAAAAAAAAAAAAAAACCAACCTGGGCAGTGATCAGGGCAGGTACGGACATCATGGAAATCTTCTCTGCGGCATTTCTTCAAGATCTTCTTAAGCTTCTTGAATCCGACTCCAGGCAGCTTCTTCTTCTGGCCTTGCATGTACTCCTGGTATGTCTTGCAGAACTTCATTTTTCATCAATATTTAACCCAAATCCTTCGACCTTAATTAAATTTACTGGATAATCAGAGATGGGAAGGCCGAAAAAACCAAACTTCTCTTCTGAAAGTTTTTATCTGGTGATGTTTGCGTGTAGGGCTGTGTAACGGTTTCTCTCTCTCTCTCTCTCGCTCTCTCCACTTGAACAAGAAGACGTATATAAAGGGCGAACTGACGACAAATCGGAGAAATACTGAGGTCCTGATTTTCCCGAGAACAGGTCAAGGATTTTTCTCGGAAAGTTTCTGATTTGGTGAAAGGATTTCTCGGAAACTTTTAAAACGGATTTGAAAACATTTTCTTTTGGGTAAATCCAGGTTGGAAAACATTTCCAAATCGACATGACTGCAAAATTATTTATGTTCCACACTTCCACTTGTCACCGATGTGACACTTCCCATTTTTTTTCTTTGTTTTCTTGGTTGATTACTGGCTGAGAAAGTGACTCTAAAATTGGGTGAGATATCTAAAAGAAGTTACCTGGACTCTTCTTTTTCCTTGAACAAAAAATATTATAAAGCTAATAATAGTGTATGTAAGTTCGTTGTAAAAAGATATTATTCACTTATTCATAGTAAAAAAATAGAAGAATTATAAGTGCTTGATAATTGATTTAGATGCTGACAATTTTGTAATAGATCGATTGAAATGTGCGTCGATTAGGGTTTTATATTTATCTCAACTCATATTTTAATGGTTGATAACCTATTATTAAAGTTGTGTCAGGTAATAATATCGATTAGAATAGAAGTCGATTAAAGCTCCATCCTTATCTCAACTCGTATTTTAGATGTTCATAACCTATTAAGATTGTGCCATGTAAAATATGAACTGAAATAGCCTAATTTTTTTTTCTTGTCAAAAAATATTAAAAGGAAAAAAAGAAAGATAATCATCACATGATGTTTACATAGGATCATGTCACGTCTTTGAAAAAACCAAGTATCACGTGACTTTGCTAGCTACCAAAGAAAATAAATGGAAAGGAAATATAATGTCGTGATATCCAACCATCTCTTTAAATTTTTCGTTGGCATGCAAACTAATATCATGCATAATTCCAATGTGAAAATCCTCGATTTTCAACCCATTAAATTTGATGGTGGAGTCTCCACCTCCATGTCCATGTACGCATGAGCGTTCATTATCTAACAACAACGACATTAAGGGCGCGTTTGTTTGGCCGGATTAAGTTTCACTGGATTGGACTACTTAGCTAGGATTAGTAGTCCAGTGTTTGGTGTAAATTAGGATTGTGTTTAATGGGATTAAGCCGGACTCGTGCCGACTAAATCCTGCCCTAGGTGGGCTTAGCGAGAGCGACCAAAAACGAGGGGATTCGTAGTCCCGTTTTTGTTCTTCGCTTCACCTCGTGTTTCTGTTCTTCGATTCACCGCTTCACCTCCCTTTCTGTTCTTCACCTCATGCTTCACCTCATGTTGCTTGCTTTGCTTCTCTCCTCCTTCCTCTTCTCCATCTCAGAGGATCTCCAAGTATGCAATATTGGGTTTGACAGAAACGGATCCAAGAAATCCAAGCCATCACCGTCTCTCACTTCCCTAACTCCACAAACCCCCGACTCGTCGCCGGTCAGCTCGCCAGGCATCGCTGCAGGCCGGTTTCGCCGCTCCACAGACTTGCGGCTCCGATTGAATCCACAGACTTGGAAGCTCTCTCCAGATTTGAATCTTGCACCGAATAAAAACCTGAAAAATAAGGGAGGGAAGGAAAGCGTGGGACGGAGAGAAAACCTTGGAAATCACTCTCCACCACTTCCCTGTGTTTCCCCCTTCCCCAATCTCTCTCTGTCATTCCTCTCCTTGTTTCTTCTCCCCCATCTCTGCAACTCTCCTTCCCGAAGCAAACACACCACATCCACACCCACACCCCACCGCGACCTCCACCAGAGTGTCTCACACCTTCTCGAAGACTCTCTTCTCCTCAGTCTCTTCCTTCTCAATCTCTCTCTCCCGACATCTCCAATTTCTCACACCTTTCAGATCTGTCGATTCTCAACCTCCTCCCTCTCGATCTTTCTCTCCCAATCTCTCTCTCTCTCTCTCTCTCGATGCCTCTGTCTTCGATCTGCACAACTTTGCCGGTTTTTGCTCCCTCCCGAACCGGAGATCGTCCAATGGGATCTCGATCGAGAGGTTTCGGACGTGGAGAGTGTGGGACGGAGAGAACAAAGGAGATAAAGAGGGAGAAAAAGATGGAGGCTTCCAGAGAGAGGGAGAGTATTATTAGAATAAAAAAGGTAGAATTAATTAATATAATATTATTAGATATGAATTAAAAAATATAATATTATAATTTGTTATTATCCTTCTTTTTAGTCCGACACTGCACCAAACGCTTTACTAAGCCAGTCCAGCTTAGTCTAGTCTAAGCCAGTCCAGCTTAGTCCCTGCAGCTAGTACAGTCCGAGACAGTCCGGTGCAACAAACGCCCCCTAAGAGTCTTAGATCTTTCACAGTGGATCGGAAAATTAAGTTTAATTATAATTTTAATAGTTATATTATATTCTTTCATAATATAGAAAGTTTGAAGTGTAGAATAAGATTTTTGGAGTGCTAATAACAATTTCTTAAATTAAACTCAAAGTGTGTGATTTTTATACACAACAATCAAAATCAATTACACGATTGTGAAAGACCTTAAAGCGTAAAAAATTGTGTAAATTGTAAGCGATACACATTACAGCACGTATGTGACGATGCGATCGTTGCATTATTAGGGCTGGTTTGGTATTGTTGTGTTTTGAAAAAAAAACTACTTCTGTTGTGCTGTGAGAATAAACTCATTTTTGCTACTTCACGTTTTCAGTTTTTTTTCACTCAAAACTATAAAAATAAGTTATTTTTAAGTGTTTATCAAATATCATTTTGAGTTCAACCCTTTTTTTATATCTATTTTTTATAAAAGTATCTCAATGACAAACTAGTACTAAGTCTGTCCACAAGAAGCTAGAATAGCAGCAACCACCAAGAGCCTACTGTTTGTTACGTGTAAAGCAAGCTGGTGGACACCAAAATCTGAAGTGGCCCCCGCCGGTCTGTAGAAGAAGAATGCGTTACAGACTTTCAGTTGTCACACCGTTGCTCAATTTGTTTTGCTTGTCGTCTACGAAAGGTGAGCCCTCCAACTCCATTTCTTTCTCTCAAAGTTTTCTAAATCTATCCATATTATGATAAATTAGTTACCGAAAACATGATCCGATATCACTATTATAATACAAGTGATAAATTTTATTTTTTAAATATCGAGCCATTTATATTATGATACTTGATGTTACAAAATGTTCTCAATAGGATGAAAAATTTCTCGCATATTGTTAAGATTATTAATCACATTTATTTCGTTGTTTCCTGACATTTCTTATATATCATGCTCACTTCTTAATTAACATTTCAACGCATAAAGGAAAAAAGAAACAAACAATAATTACACAACCAAATAGTTATATAGCATGCTTATCATCTTCACTACTGTCATCAAGTCAAGTTAATCTTATCCCATGGGGCCCAATGTATTCATCCACCAACTAAAACATTGATTAATGCAGCCTTAAGACAAAAACAAAAACGCAAATGCGTTCTTCCTAATTTAGTATTTTAATATACTTTTTAATAAAGTAAACTGTTATTAGTACTTAAAAAATTTCATTTTGCACTCTCCACTAGTGTATTTTTTCATTTTACTTATAGAAAATTTTAGAGTATAAAATGAAATTTTTGAAACGGCAATAACAATTTCCTTAATAAATTAGTGAAATAAGAAAATTTTATAATCATGTCTACATCCATCACACATTAGATTAGATTTAGGAATGAATATTTTTTTTTTGGATTAAATGTTAAAATGGTCTATGTGTTTTAGTCATTGGATCAATTTAGTACTTGTATTTTCAATTTGACCAATTTGGTCTTTGTGTTTATCTCCGTTAGCCAATCAAGGACATTTCCATCTAACTTCTGTAAAAAAAAATTATAAATTATCATAAACTTATTTATAAAATTATTTATTTGATTTAAAATATTTAAAAATGAAATAAAATTAAAAATTAAAAGATAAATTATTCTCCTCCCAACTCCCTGATCTCGTCCCTAACATTACCCCCTCCCTTTTCTATGTCACAACCTTAATCATTTTCCAGATTGAAAGTTTCATCTTTTATATGTGTTTTTCTCATTGATTTCACTTTTTCCGTAAAGAGAAAAGGTAATTATATCTCATATAATTTTTCTTAAGAAATTTTTAAAAGGGATTGAATGAAATGCCTTTCATTTGTTAACAGAGACAAACACAAAGACTAAATTAGCCAAATCGAAACACGGGACAAAATTGGCCATATGACTATAGCACAAAAGCCATTTTGACATTTAAGCTTTTTTGTTATTTTTTATATATAAAGATATTTGTAAAATAAACGTGTGAAGGCGTATGAAGCTTAATTCAAAGTGAAGCTCGCGACACATGCGTTGTTTTCCCTACCTTCGTAACCAACTCTAATTTTAGTCCAACCCTATAAAACCACCTGAGATAACACTGCAAGTTGTTATCAAGTTGCCACCAAGTTGTTTCCTATTCCTATAGTACCATGATGCACATATGCAAATTGTATAGTTGTTTTTCCACGATCGATTAACGATTGGTGGTGAGTTTCTGTTGAAGGATGTAAAGTCTCGCGTCAAAAATGAAAGAATCAAAGATTGTTTTTCTTATCACTTTGAAAAACATAAAATTAAGGCCTATAAGAGGGAAAAGGGTTTGTGAGTGGAAGAAGCACCATTAGTGGTCGATCGAGAGCACTCAATTGCTCAAGCTCTCCCATCCAGTCGGTCCAAAGCACAATGCAAAAAGGAGATATATATTCTTCTGTTTGAATACTTTGTTGATTTATTTAGTCAGCAGGGGAAGGATTAGTGAAAGTTAACCAAATCCATTGTTAATGAGGTCGTATTAAACACGCCTTATGCTATTCGGATTAGTACAATACTGCACTTTCCACAGGTGGATAGCAAACCAACAAAGTTAACCAAATGCATGCACATTTTGACCTATGATGCCATATGCTGAATGAAGATAGTGATTATCTCACGATCTCATAATTATCACCCAAACCAATTTGGTGATCCCTCTTGTTCTCTCTTATCTATTGTTCGTGAAAAAGGTTGGCTCGATACAAGCCGAGATGAATGTGAAGAGAATCCCACATCAGATAAGTACGATAATAATTTA